CTGTTGTAGCAGATGGCCGCCCCACCCTGAGCCTGATTCTTCTGGAGGTTTCTTCCTGTTAAAAGTGAGTTTTTCCTTCCCAACATCGCCAAGTGCTTGGGTGGGTTGTTGGGGTTTTCTCTTTGTTCTTGTTTGTTTGCCTTGAGGCACCTGTTGTTCTGATTTGATGCTACATGAATTGAATTAGCTTAACTGAACTGAATTGAACTGAACTGGAAAAAAAGGTCATATGGTCCTAGGAGCCCAAATTTACCCTGTTCCAGAATGTTGGTTGTATCAAGGTAAGAAGACAGATGCACCATGTTTAGTGACTACTGTATAAGCTTCGTCTACCTAGGAAGCATAGTCAACAGAGATGGCACCGCAGATGAAGACGTTAGGAGCCGGATCAACAAAGCAAGGCTTGCATTCAACTCCCTGCGACCCATCTGGAACTCCAAAGCCTTATCCCAGCGCTGCAAGATCTGCATCTTCAACACCAATGTGAAAGCAGTCCTCCTGTATGGGTCCGAAATGTGGCGGGCGACCAACACCATTACCAGCAAGATACAGATTTTCATCACCAAGTGCTTGCGACACATCCTTAACATCAGATGGCCTGAGAAGATCTCGGACACAGACCTGTGGAAGAGAACCAGCCAGAACCCGGTCAGTCAAGACATCAAGAAGAGAAAATAGGGCTGGATAAGCCACACACTCCGAAAACTATCCGACAACGTCACAAGGCAAGCACTGGACTGGAACCCACAAGAAAAAAGGAAAGTGGGGAGACCCAAACAGACGTGGAGAAGATCTGTCGAGAGCGAAGTGAAGGCCGCCAGAATGACGTGGACCCAGCTGAAGAGAACGACCCAGAACAGAGTCCGTTGGCGTGGTGTTGTGGCCCTAAGCTCCACCAGGAGTCTACAGGAAAATTGATTGATTAATTGATTGATTGATTGTATAAACTGGGACACTTCAGGTCTAGCTTCCGCAACATTCCCTAAAAATGAGGTCACCCATTGCTTCTTTCATGTCAACATAAATACACCGAATGACCAGGTTTTCCTATGAATTGATTTTGTTCTTCCCTGAAGACTTCGGGCTGAAATTGAGAATATTTTGGAGAAAACCTCATGCAGCAAAAGTTGTGACACTGTACAAGCTTAACTGTTCTACTTAGTTTCATAAGAAATTTTCAAAGATAGATAAATTAAAAATTCAGCCCACTCTTAGTAGTAACTTGTCCCACATCATCCATATAGCACCATGAAGGGCTGAAACACCTGTACCCAGTTTTCCCAGCACAAAAGCTTGAATTAATAACAAGCAAACACCATCTGTATAGGACAGGACTTGTTAAAAAATAAAAAAATAAATAAACAATAGGAAAATGACAAAAAGGAAGTTCATGTCACGATAGAGGTCAACTAAGGCAAATTACTGCATCCAATGAAGGCTATGACATAAAATAATAACAGCCTGGCACAGAGGCCGGATAACAACCCACTCTCATGGAGGTGACAGATGCAGCAATACATCTGTAGTAGCCACACAAACAGCATCACAAAATTCAGCAACACTCGTTACTTGTAATATATTGATCATTTCCATTTTTACAGTGCTACGTAAAGAGTGGTGAAGCTCATGAAAATAAGAGCAGATCACAAATTAAAAGGACATTTACTGGTGTCCCTTTTTTCATTTTGACCAACTCAGAACTCAAACTTGACTTGCCTGAATGTAAAGCATGTTAAAAACACAAAGCAGTGTCCACGGTTGTGTCCTTTTAGGACTATTTATATCCTTTGTTAAGATTAATTTTATGACAAATATAACTTAGAAAAAGGTACTATTTCTGTATCCAAGCATGAAGACTCTTGTTTGGTTTCATTTTATATGTGACTTAAAGCTCTGCACATTTCCCAAAAGCCCGGGGAATCAAGCTCAGCCTGCATTTTACCCTTAGCCCAAATCAAATACTCGAAAATTTAAAATAGCTGATTTTTAATTTGAGACTAAATTAAAAACAAACAAACAAATGAGACAACTTGTACCTTTTTTGTTGTTTGCTAAACAGGTTTCTATGGAAGATTGTTTCCACCAATGGAAAAGAAAATGTCGTCTGTAAGTCGTTTAGGTATCTTAAAATTTGAATTACTCAGAAATATGTCAAAATTTGGAGACAACTGAAATTTAATTAGTTCTGCCTGGCATTTGTTTTTCAGTAGCTGAAGCAATCTTCCACAGATCTCCAGAGTGTATTTAATTACATTTTTACAATTTTACAAATCTGTCTTCTGCTAATGGAAGAGGTTACCTTTTGGGCCTTCTGAAAAAATATTTTTATTTTATATTATTTTTAGCTGCTTACAGTAATGTTATAGAACAATGCAAACATGATGTATTTTGCAAAAGTAATTACATTATATTGAAACCGGGGTAATGTAGTTGCACTGTATAATGAAATGTAACTTTTTATAATAAGTTACATTACACAGCTAAATGTCCAAAACTGTGACCTTCATTCGATTTGATTATCCTATATAAAATAAGAAGCAAACAGGCCTCGCCTGGTACATCTTGTCGGTTGTGCCACCGTCTTTTGAGCCAATGAAAATGGGGGATTGTGTGGAAAAGGTGTCTGTAGTTCCTAAACAACTAATGTTGCACTTTTGTAAAAGCCTTTAAATTAAAGTCTGCGCTTTGATTACATATTTTCTTGAAATGAAATCCCCTGTGGTGGTGAACAGAAGCAAAAATACAAAAACAGTTTGTTGTTGCTCAAAAACTTATGGACCATCTCATCTGAGTGTGAAGTTGGAAAAACAACTCAACACGTTGGGTTACAGTACATTACCCAGCTCCCCAGAAAACAACCCAAACTGACCCAAATCAAGCAGCAGATGGCTGGGTTACAAAATTAACACAACAAATCATGGTGTGCGTTTATGTTGTTTTGACTTCTTGGTACAGCACCTTGAATCTATACCAGTCTGTTAATGTATGCTTTAGAAAGAAAATAGCCTTTTCCTTTAAATGTTATTCATTTATTTATATCTATATTACAAGAGAAAAAGTATTTGTGGGTGAAAATATGGAACTCTGTACAACTGTTCAGTCAAACAGTAACATTTACTTGAAATGATAACAAATAAATAATGAAATCCAAACTTTAACTGAATAAAAATCTGATGCATGGAAAAATAGTCAGAATGATAAAACTACTTTAAAAACATGATTTATGTTGCATCTGTTCTTCCTTCCTTAGACTGAAGAAACGACTGCCTGACTGCAGGACCTGGAAAATCATTAACAGAGCAAGTCCTTAACTCTGGCTCCCTCTGGTAGCTGAAAAAGTGGACTACGCCCACACAGCTGACTAAGGAAAAGATAACACTACTTCTCCGAGGTGCACATTTTAAAATAATTGTATGAAACTTTAACTATAACAGACTGAAAGCTTCATTACATGTATTTAAAAAAAATATCTCTAACACATTCAGAGTTCTGAAACTTGTTTATTAATCCACTGATGCGTCTGCTCGTGGTTTCAAAAAGCAACTTCAATACAACACAGCCAGCATTTTTACCTCAGGATAGAAATCTCGTAAAAACACCCACCCACACACGTTCACTCTTAAGAAAATGCATAAAAACAGACGCACAACATCGTCTTCATCAGCTTCATCGTCTTCAGTTCAGGAGCCTGACGATCACGCGGCAGCACGAACACACACAGGCCTTCAATAGCAGCTTTTTGTACAGCAAACAGGAAATCAGTACCACACGTTGTATCTATTGACTAAAGGGGCATTTCAGCTAATACATCAGTTTGTGGAAGGGCTTTAAAAATTAGGACAGTGAGAAATAAAAAAACTTTAACATTGGATTAACAATCATTTGTTTAGAGCACTTTATTAGGAACACTTGGGCAGCCCGCTTGCTCGTTCATACAGGTGAACCAGCTGGACACAACAGTATGAAAACTTCACAATAACACCACTGACATAACAGCAAACAGGCTGATCAGTCAAATTTATCTGTAACCTTCACACGTGGTGTCTTTTTAGTAAGTTAATCCTGAGATACGAGCTCACATAGGTGGAAAGATTATTTACAGAAAGAATTAAAAAGTCATTTCATAATATGTTTGTTATTTACACAATATCATTTAACATTTTCACGCAGCTCTACAATAACTGAACGTGTAGCGGATTGGTCAAGGTTACAAAGATGTCGGTGTTCCTAATAAAATGCTCATTGAGGGTCAAAGATCTACAGCTGTAAAGGGCACAAAAATATTTATAAACATGAGTGAAAAAGAGTCTCAGTTCGAGTCTCGGTCTGACCGAGAGACGGAAAACCAAACACATGGATGCCCTGCGACTCACACAGGTTTATACTCTGTATGTAGTTTGTGTACAGCACTGTAAAGTAGGGCTGTTCGATATAACGATATATATCGGATGACAATATAAAAACGTCTATCGTTTCATTTTACGCTATCGTTTGTTTCATGGTGTCGCAAAATAAACTGCTTGCGGCAATATTTTTTCACCGATTTGATGGTCACTGTAGTGGCTCAAAGTAGCTATATTCATTTCTTCTTTCTCTTATATTTTATATAACCACACTACAGATGGACAAGCGCCTGTTTTTATGCGTTGTCGTTAGCAACAACGACGGTAACACCATCGCGTGTCCGCTTGTTTATGT